TCACTTTTACATGCAACATGGTGTCTATCAATCAAAGACAAACAAAACAGGAATTGACAGACATGTGGAAAAGCTGTAATCCTGATTCATTGTTGTGCAATTCCTTGAGGAAAGTTTTACAGTTCTTTAATGTTAAACACAGAGTCATTACATGACCCGTAAGTTCCACTTATAGGTGTGTAAACAAGAGACATGACAAACTACATTCACAAAACATCGGGAAGCTTGTCTACACTGTGGTCCTCCTCTTAGTGAAAACTGTTCCTACCATGGCCTTTCCTTATACTAGAAAAGGCTAATTTTCTATACCCATCTGTAGCCCCGTTAGTCCTTCTACAGATCCTTATTTAACAAGGATTTGAAAAATTATAATGGTCTCTTAGGCTTTTTTTTTTTTTTTTTTTTGACAGGCAGAGTGGACAGTGAGAGAGAGACAGAGAGAAAGGTCTTCCTTTGCCGTTGGTTCACCCTCCAATGGCTGCTGCACTGCGACCAGCGCACCGTGCTGATCCGATGGCAGGAGCCCGGTACTTATCCTGGTCTCCCATGGGGTGCAGGGACCAAGGACTTGGGCCATCCTCCACTGCACTCCCGGGCCACAGCAGAGAGCTGGCCTGGAAGAGGGGCAACCGGGACAGAATCCGGCACCCCCACCGGGACTGGAACCTGGTGTGCCGGCGCCGCAAGGCGGAGGATTAGCCAAGTGAGCCAAGGCGCCGGCTACGAAAAATAATTTTCTGAAACAGGTATTTTATTGTATTAAAAGAAGATGGGGCGGCGGAGTGGGAAACAAAACTAATACTAACCAGGACTCCAAACTTCCTAATAATGGTTAAGTATTGCAAAATTGTCAGAACATCAATGCTGAATGCAAGAGATTTAGAGTGAAACCCAGTGTATCAAATTCAGAAAACTGATTTTAATTAAAAAAAAAAAACTCTTAGGTTTCTGAATTATCTTACATAAAAACAATTTGCAACTTGATGTCTTATTCCCCTATGGGGTGAGCTCAACAAACCAGAAAAGACACCTACAGAAATCTCATCAATCAAACTGCTTAATTTAAGCTCTCCCCTTGCAATATCCTGAATTTCCTTATTGACTTATTTTTATATATTTATACATTTTTCTATATTGGTCTATATTGTCTTCCTGGGAAGAATCTCTAAGATAATTTCTGCCAGTTCACCAAAGCATCTAGAAAATAAAGAAAACAGAAAAGTCATTCTAGACAAATTCTATAATGTCTTTTTCAAAAGACTAAAGGTTATAAATTATGATGTCATGCTTCAAACTGCCTTGGACTAAAAATGGGTATCTATGAGAATTTTGCATAATAAAAATATTTAATGCAATCATGCAAATCATTTTTAAATAGGTATGATTCCACTGACTTGCCTGCCTTTATCTAATCCTACTGAGAAGAAAAAAATCATCACCTGGTATTTAAGACAGGGAATTACTTTTATACTGTTAAGAATCAATCATCCTGGCCGGCACGGTGGCTCACTAGGCTAATCCTACGTCTGCGGTGCCGGCAACCCGGGTTCTAGTCCCAGTTGGGGTGCCAGGTACTAGTCCTGGTTGCTGTTCTTCCAGTACAGCTCTCTGATGTGGCCTGGGAGGGCAGTGGAGGATGGCCTAAGTGCTTGGGTCCCTGCACCTGTATGGGAGACCGGGAGGAAGTACCCGGCTCCTGGCTTTGGATCAGTGCAGCACCAGCTGTAGCGGCCACTGGGGAGTGAACCAACGGAAGGAAGACTTTTCTCTCTGTCTTTCACTGTCTATAACTCTCTCTGTGTCTGTCTCTCTCACTGTCTAACTCTGCCTGGCCAAAAAAAAAAAAAAAAAATCATTATCCTATAGATAATACCTTATATGTGATAAAATCAGTTTCAAATTCAGAATGTACTCTATCCTACCCCACTCCACCCTACCCTTAATACTTTTTCTATAAAAAAATGTTTCTTCACATGTAGTTTAACATAATTCTAAAAACAAGCACCACTAAACAATTCTCAAAACCAATTTTCAAAACTGTGACCTCATAAACATAATGCATCAATTATTGCTTTTGTATAAAAATCAACTTTCACAATGATCTTTAAAAGATAGGCAGTATTCACATTTTGAAAGAATCAGAAAATGATACAGTGCCATTTTCCAGAGTAATGGGAAATTTATTATTAAATATTCATAACTTATAAGCCTGACACATCTTTTATGAAAATACATATAAACTAAAAATAGTAGTAAGTCTTTTATTAGTTGCTATACTCATAAGTAATCATCACCATCCACAAAGATAAATACTGATGAAAAGTTATAGGAAATCCCAAAGAAACTGAATTTGGAGGATTCAATTCAGCTGGCTTTGTGGAAGCAAAGTGCTAATGTTATCAAGGGAGCTATCTAAATTCAATATGCTACCACCAAATAGAGAATACAACAAAGATAAAAGCAATTTAAACAGCTATGGGGAATGGAATTTTACAGTATCCCTAAATACTTAGGCTTAAAAAGATGGTTTTCAATGAAGTAAAAAAAATAGAATTTTACTAATGAGAGTAAGCACTTGTACAAAATACTTTCCTATTCTAAACTACCATTTGTGGCTATTGCAAATTTATTCTTTATGAAAACAATTTATTTATGAACAAGTACTCAATCTTGCAAGTGATGTGGGCTAGGTGGGGAGCTAGTGCACACACTGCTGAAGCCCCACCCCCTTACACACTCTCTTTCTTATGATGCTCCTGAGCCTGCTCCATTATGCAGAAGACATCATGCTGAACACGTGTATTCTGAGCACCGGAAGGAGACACTATGAAACTTTCTCAGAGATCATGACGCGATCATGAACCAGCTCAAATTCTGTCCCACTATATATTCAGTTAGGGCAACACCTCCTACCGAATAAAGGGATCAACTTGAACTTGGGTGAACATACAGCAGGGGTAGAAGCAGTGGCAGAAGACTCCCTCTCTCCACAAAGAGGAGGTTTTCCCATTCATTTCTGAGTGTGTGCAATCTCTATAATGTCGTTGAATAAATTCTGTTTCCATTCTTGCCCTGTCTATATCTTTGCTTTCAATTCTCTCACACCTAGACAAGAACTTGGAATAAATCCAGGTATGTACACTCACTCCAGTCTACAACACAGGTCATTAGCAGATATGATTTGTGGTAAGGGAAAATCTTAGAATAAAATATTGATGGATAGTAAAAGCAGTTAGTATATTCTTAGACTTAGTAAAGGCAATATTTATAAATTAGCTATCCTTTGATTTATATATCACATAATGTAGTATCTTATTTCACCAATTTAGACCAAGTATACTTTATTATTAAATTGATCAAGATTAAGACTTCTTTCATAACATTTTTATTCATCCTTATTTCTCTTTCCATACCTACACACACACACACACACACACATACACACACACTGTTGATTATAATTTTTCTATCAAAAATAGAGCTTAGAGGAATAAGGAAAGGACTGGCAATCAAGTACTTTGCTTAATAGTTGGTTATTCTCTTGAAGATGAGTAAGACAAAGATCTGGTTTCAGTACCCATCGAGTGGAAAGGCAATTCACTGAACTTCCTCAGTTGACTAAAAAGATTTTTAAGAAATATGACTATGTACCTAAAAATAGGGTACACTTTTAATTACAGTGAAGAAAACAATTGAAAGTGATTGTATTTTGCAGTTTACTGTTTTTTTCTGAGAACCATAAAATCCATCTTAATTCTGACTATGCAGTCGGTAATGATAATAAGCACAGATAAACTACCATTACAGGAAGTGCTGTCGAAGGGACAGTGAATCTTGCCAACTCTACAGGAATAGCTACAGTGTTACCACTAACTCTTTATAATATTTACTTATCATCCATTATTTACTTATACCTTTAATCTTCAAAGGAATTTACAATTATCCACATTCACATGTGGAAGTATCCAAATTAAAATATTCATGAAACTACAAGTGGATATCTTATATTTTCGCTAACACAGTACATGGCTGCATAAAAATAATATCCTCTATCATGATCCCACATACCACCAACAGTACAATTAAAAAATTATTGAACATAGACTACATCTTTTTTCAACCTGACCTCTTTTTCATAGGAAAAAAACCACTAGCATCAAATTTAACAACACAGATTAACATTATTCATGCTTGCTAATTATGCACTGCAATATATCACTTAAGCTTTAAAAAATTTGAACACAAGCAACTGAGTCGATACACTTAACTCCAAAATACTCATTTCCTCAGTCTCATATTTGGAAATTTATGAGCTGTAAGTTATAATTTACACCAGAAGAAGGTGTACAGTATGTATACAAAGGAAGAGCTGACTGAAGTCCCACTTGAATCTGTTTTCTCAACAATTGTCACCATGGTTTCTATAGCTAATAACAGTTCAAAGTGACTTTGACTTCCCTGAGGTGTGATTTCCATGCATGAGGAAAAAGAAAGGGGAAAAACGTGTTCAATATGACAACTCTGCTACTTTTGTTATATAGAAAGGAAATTATATTTCGAGCTCTTGATTTGAATTTGATCTGTTATTTCCACTAAGTCACTACATTCCATTCCTTCTGCAATAAAGGTTAAAATCACCTGCATATGCATCTAATGCATGCTGAGCAACGCAGAGCCCATGAGAATTTCTTGTTCTTGAAAGTAATGGAATAATCATCAAAATTCTAAGAGCCAAAAAGACAAATAAGCTCATACTGATATAAATTATATTAAAATCTCAGGGTCCTCATTGCTCAAATTGTACCTATTAAAGACTTTATTAAATTCTGTAATACTCATATCTATGTCCACCTTATTTTTATTTTATAAGAACCAGGAATGAACTTCTCCTTCATATATTTCCGAAATATAGTGATTAACAACACTAGGTGTAATATTCACTTAATAAAGTTCACGACAATATAATAACAAATTATAGAAAAGAAAGCATGGATTCTAACCACTTTGTCCTCCTTTGGGAAAGCATCCAAGGAAGCAGAGTAGAGAGAGAAGAAAAAAAAAAGAAGAAAAATATGAGCCACATATTAACGAATTGGTTACAAAAAAAACCAATGAAACATTTCTTTAAAATGCTAAAACATTGGTATTTTGGAAAGCAAATGTTTATTCTTCCTTAAAATAGGCATTGTCCAGTCCTTCACTGGAAATGCATGAGTTGGGCACAATAATTTCCTAAATTTTTAGGATTTGGATTACTAAATCTGTATTTAAAATATTCTTCAGAAAGGGTGACTAATTCACTACCACATGTAGTCCACCTATTTTTGAAAATATTGTATTAAAATGCCCAAAATTATAGGAATAATTTGAATTAAATTACTATAAACTATATATAGTCCTAATTTGAAAAAAAAAAACCTTAGAATAGGAAACACTTGTAGTAAATAAAAAATTCATTGCATATGATTCCACAAACAATAGTAATTTGTGATACTAATTGCAAAATTTATGAGAGGAAAACCACACTTTATATGTTTATATAACTTTTTATCTTATGCCCAAGATGAAATATTTATCTTGTGCTTTATTTCATTTAGTTCTTTTTAAATGATTTTCCGAGGTTAGATGGGTTTAGAAACCCATGGACTATGATTCGTTTGTGTGTTGTCTCCAAAGTATAAGCACCTTCTTACTCAATTTTCTTTAAACACTTTTCCATTTCATAACCTGAGACTGGCCCTAATGATTTCAGTAAATCACTAGTTGATAATATTGCTCTTGGCTTGCCTGAAACCTGTAATGGGAGGTTAAAAGCATTCAACAGCTGTGGGTGCTCAGCCAGTACCCACACTCAGCTGACAGACACCTCCTTCTTCTCTGCCAGCAGCTTTTCAAAACGAGTGGTGCCCTTACCAAAGGGGTTGATACATATTTTGAACATCATCTCCATGTCTCACCTGTGAGAATTCATTCCAAAATAGTGCATTTGGGAACAACGAATAAAGGAGAAACTAACAAGTAAGTTTTGTGTACTTTCTATGTACCAGAAACCATCTTAATAACCCTGCTTGTTCTAGAAAGACTTTAAGGTTGCATGTGAAAATTTACTCAAACAAATCACTTTTAGAATGGGAAAAGAAAAACCTATGTAATCTTAAGAATCCAACCTAAAACTAGATTAAATATGCATGTATTTTAATTATTTTTTATTTAGTTCTCACAATACCCATACAGAGTAATTGTTACTATCCAGTTTCATAGAGAGGGAAAGTGTTGTTCAGATAAATTAATTATTTTCACAAACCCACAGATAGAAAAACTGTCTCACCTTAAAGCATCAACTGTATCTATCATACTGACAGCCTTAATTATATTTGAAGGGAGTTTTAGATTATCATGCTTATAACTCAGATTACCAAAGAATACAATGTCAATTGGCAGGCTTGTTTAATTTTAACTGCAGTCAAAACTGTGGTCTTCCAGACTTGAAAAACATTCAAATGCTTAAAGCTTTCATATTATTTTAAAATATAACATTGCATTATATTCTATTTTTGGCTTGATAATACGAAAAATTCTGTAAAGAAGCACTGGGCTCTCTTTAGGTATATGATAATCATAACTGTTCTGAATTATGCTGCAGAGCTGTATCAAAAAAAATCACCCACATTTCTCTAAGTAATTCTATATGCTAATATACAGGATATGCTAAAGTGCAACATTAAACTGTATACTCAACTAAGTACTACAATTATTCTACTAATACAACTAATATCAAAAATTGTAAATTTCAAAGCATAACAGAGAAGTGGCCTTTATTTATGTCAAATAGGACACTAGATGACAATATATCTCATAGAGAAGAAAAGGAGACGTGCAAATCTCAAAATCAAAACACATATTTGACACACTCTTTAAATATGCACATAATTCCCATGAGATAAATTTGGTGCTATACGTCTTTAACATATTAAATCTGAAATTGCTCTCATAGAGGTTAGTCACTGTAATATATAATCTTGAGTTAAATTAAATGGCCCACAGTTAATCCTGTATTTTACCTTCATTCAGTCTGAAAACTAATGTTGCAGAAGCTAATTTAGCATTTCTACAGGAAAAACTGGCCATAACAGCTTTTAGGAGCTGTATATAATTTATGATGATACTAAATCTACATTTACTATATTATTCAGAAAATACATTTACTTTCCAGGTATTCTGCTGGTTTTTAGTAGGACTCATTCATTAAGGGTCATGTATTTGGAAGGAACCTTTACTAATTATTTTCATCCTTATGACACTATAGAATTTTATGTAAAACATGGAAAATTAGGGGAGAAAACATATCATCTATCTATGTGTATGTTGGCTTTATAACATGCCTATGTTTTCATGCTTGGGAGGACAAATGGTTTTCAACCACATTCACAGCACCCTCTGTGTTCACAGGACACTTACGTTGTTCGATCGAAGAGACACCCGGCCTCCACATCGGGCACAGAACTTGGTACGGCAATATGAACAGAGATGGCCACACCCATCAGCAAACTTTGTTTTATGACAGATTCCACACGTAGGAGCATCATCTTTGTGCTCGCCTTGGTAACGTCGTGCTTCTTCCCCTATTTTTCTCACTTGTTCCTTATAACTTTCAAACTGTTGATGCAATCTCCTGGAAAAGGATAAAATGGCAGCAAACTAAGTAAATAATGGAAAACAAAAACCAAATAATTTTCCTAACAAAATGGAAATATAGCTATTTTAACCAAACCAATACCCATTCAGTTGTTTTCCCCACTAACTACCTTTAAAAGTAACAATGCATTAGCATGGATCCCACTGGTAATAATTTTGCTTACTATAAATGTGTGCATATATTTCAATTTTTGTACAAATATAAAATGCACCCTTTAATTCTATTTTCTATGAACATTCCTCAAGTACCCAGGTATGCCACAGAATAAATGAGGAGGAGGAAGTTTGTTTTACCCTTTCCCATGGAGAGTGAAGTTTCAGATGGTAACTCTAAAGGAAATGCTTCCCACCTTCATGGAATGCCAGGACATAAGTTATTTAAGACATGGAAATATGAGGCATGAAGATTTTTCTAATGTTTATGAGTAAAAATATTAAAGAGTTGACTTCGTTGCCTTCACTAATCATAAATATATTTTATTATATAGAAACTTTTCAAGCTACCATAGCCAGAAATGATTACCTTCCACATATTCTAATGTTACATTCTACAATTTTCCTTAAATTAGGATTATAAGGTGAAGGGAAACAGGGTCTGGGTTATAGTATTGCCATCTGAAGCCCTTTTGTTTTCTATCTTTAGGAACCTAATAATTAATGTCAGAATTATGATTATGTTTGGTTCAGACACACCATGGTGACAGTCATAAATGCAACTGAAATTCACTTTTGTCCCTGGCAGTGGAATTAATGTATTCATTTTATACCTCTGCTTTTTTTAGACAGGTGCTTCACAAATTATTTCAGCTAGGACCCAATACTTTAAAACTATATCCTAGTGTGCATATAACTGAAGCGAAAATCAAATATCTAACCTAACTATATACATATACATGTAGTACTCTGATATTTTATCCTATTTTAAGTTGAATATTGAATACAATTCACAAAAGAGTTGTTGCACTGAATTGACTTCATGACCCACTATTTGAACATTTGAAAAATGTTGTTTTAAACTACATGGACAGTCCAACTGTCTTCTGCAAAGTATCTTCCTTCACTCCATTTGTGGAGTCTACTTATTTTATTTGTCATCAAGTATCTGATGTAATCAGGTATACAGAATGTTAACTTCTACAATATATTTGAGCTCATTAGTCCTTCCATGCTACATCAATATCTTGCAAATATTCAGATTTTGACATCCCTAAATTTTATTGAATTCAGTCAGGTTATATGTATGATGCCTGCTAGCACTTCTCACTGACAACTAAGGATGGTGGGACAACCATAATTGTTGAAGCAAACCATTTCCCCTAAGAATGTGTCTCCTATCAGTCTGAACCCTTCAATCTTACACTGCTACAAACAGAACTGCTCTCATTTTTGAATAGAACATTACAACATCCAGTGAATTCCCCAGTGTAGCATGTCTTCGTTTTGTACATGAGAACTAGGAGTGTTTTCCAATATCCAGCCACTAGTCATCAGCTATCACCAAAAGAGAAACTCCTGGGATGTGGCTGATCAAATTCAGCTGTGTATGTGAGCGAGTTTGCTGGACTCAAGTTTTCCCCAGGACAGAGTACACAGATGCTATTGTTATTTCAGGCAGTTAGACTGACACTCGACATGCCAGATAACTCTAGGGAACTAGAGTTAACACCCACTGCTGAAGTATACATACATGCACTAGCACATAACATGGCTTAGTATCTAAAGCCCTTCCCAGCTTACATGCGATATTTAATTTAATGAATGCAAGAATATCTGATCAATTTAAGAAAGTGCTAATATATTTGCAAAACTTTTTTTACCAATGAATTATTCAAGAGCCAGACAGACAGGCAAGCTGACAGAGCTCCCAGCTGTTCATTCACGCCCCAGATGCTCACTAACAGCCCAGGCTGGGCCCAAGTCCAGAAGCAGGAGCCAGGAACCCAATCCACTATCCCTTGTGGAGGATAGGGAACCAGCTTCTTAAACCATAATCTGACTGCCAGGGAGTACACGCACTTTCAGGAAGCTAGAATTTAGAGCGAGACCCTGTACTCAAACCCAGGCACCCAATATTAGATGCGGCTATCTCAACTGGCCCAATACCTGCCCCTATTTTTGTTTTTATATTCAAATATCATTAACTTAGAATTAAATTAATAGAAATAATTCTGGACATCATATTATTTCAAACATGACCATATAAAATAGCACTGAAATTGTGGAAGAAATGCATTCCCAGGGGAGAACTGGCAAGAAAACTGCAGTGGAAAGTCTACAGAAGGAAGAGGGATGCCAGGGATCAGTTGTGGAAGATGTGGACATGCAACAATGAAATGCTGGCAGAGATGTGGGGGAAATGGCACCCTAATCCACTTGGTAGGAATGTAAACTGGTGCAGCTACTGTGGAAGACAGTATGGAGATACTTCAATCCTACCATATGACTCAGCCATCCCGCTCCTGGGAATTTACTCAAATGAAATGAAATCAGCGCATGAAAGCATTTACCTGTGCCCCCATGTTTATTGCAGCTCAATTTACAATAGCTAAGGTATGGAATCAACCCAGATGTCCATCACCTGATGACTGGATATAGAAATTATGGTATATATACACTGTGGAATACTACCAGCCATAAAGAGAATTAAATCCTGTCTTTTGCAACACAATAGATGCAACTGAAAACCATTATATTTAGTGAATAAACCAGTCTCCAAAGACAAATATCATTTGTTTTTCCATGATCTGTGGTAACTAATAGAGTACCAAAAATGTAATATATAGGAATAAAATTGACATTTTAAGATTCAATGACTGTTTACAGTCTTGTCTCTACTGTTGAGGAATATTGCTTTTTTCTTTTTACTACTTGTTGAATTCTTTACTTAGGGTTAGTTTTATGAGTATAAAGTAAAGTGAAAGTAGATCATTGTAAAAATTTAGGGAGGGAGTATAAAAGGAAAGAGGAAGAAGTGTGGAAGAGTGGGAGGACAGGTAGAAAGGAAGGTAGGGTGAGAAGTCACTATGTTCCTAAATTGTATATATATATAAAAGAAATGAAATTCGTATACCTTAAATAAAATTAAAACATTTTAAAAACAGGAATAGGTTCAGGATATCTCCAACGAAAGAAACACAAAATAAACTATGAGCATACAGGCAGTACATGAAAAAAATATTTGTTGTGAGAATTACTAAATCAAATCTAAGTATATGCAAATGAGAGGGAGAAAGCTAGGCTAAAAGAGAAAGTTTCTGTATAAATTTCTACAATACAGAACATAATTTAGTATGAGTGTTGACCAACACTGCAGTGACTATTTTATTCTTCAGTTATTTATTTTCACATTGATTTGAATGGCAGATAGAACAAGATTTGAGAGTGAGAATATGCAATCTACCATCTGATGGTTCATTCCCCAAATGCCTACAACAACCAGAACTGGGCCATATCAAAACCAGAAGCCTGGAACTTAATCTGAGTCTCCCATGTGGGTGGCAGGGACCTAGCACTTGGGCTGTCATCTGTTGTCTCACAGAGTACACATTAGCAGGAAGCTCAACAAAAGTGGAGCCAGGACTCTCATTTTAATATGGTATGCAGGTGCCCAAAGTAGCTTCAACCACTGAGCCAAAAGCTTGCCCCTCGGATATTTTAGCCTTTGCAGCATATAAAGTCTCTGTTGCAACTAATCTACTATTGTAGCAGGAAAGTACTAATAGATAATATGCAAAAAAATGAGTGCGTACATTTTCTTAGAACACTTTCTTTATAGAAGTAGTTGGAAGGTCAGATTAGGCTATGAATCAGTTACTCAACTCCTGATAAGAATATGCTTTACTCCTAGATATAATTTATTTTCATCTACTTGAAAGGCAGAGAGACAGAGAGATCTTTCAACCACTGGCTCACCTTCTAGATGGCTGCAATAGCCAGACTAGAACAGGCCAAGGCTAGCAGCCCAGAACTCCATTTGAGTCTCCCAAGTGAGTGGCAGACATCAAATACCTGTCCCACCATCTGCTGCCTCCCATGATGCATCAGTAGAAAACTGGATGCAAAGCTGAGAAGCCATCAGAACAGAGGATACTGTCTTCCCAAGCAGTAGGTCACAGTGCTGTGCAGCAACACGACAGCCTCTCTGCGTTTTAAATTCAAAAATAAAAAAGTTTTATATATCTTACTGGCCCAAATCAAAAGAGCATATATCTGATGAAATCTTTGTATAATATGTACACAAGAGCATTGACCACTGAGATGAAACTTTACTGAAGTCTCATAGCACTTATTTCAGTCACTAATAGGTCACATAATGTGTATATATATATATATATATACACACACACACATATACACAAATTATTATTAACATTATTATAAATTTTATCACTCTTCTTCCAAGCAGTAAACCTCATTAGAAATGTATAGTTTAGCAAATCATTAAGACATGTATCTAGCTAGTAATAGCTAATGTATATTTGCTGAATGGAAAATTTATACACACATATATACATGTTCAAGGTCTATTTTGAGAAAAAATGTACAAAGTCAGAGTGATGAATAAATATTCCAAATAATCTTATTTACTCAAAGGACTCGAAATATGGATAAAAAAAATTGAATAGGGTAACTTCTAATGCATGTTTGAGCTGGAGAGAAAGTACTGAGAGAAAATCCTGAAAAGACAAAAATGAAACAGGGACAGTATTTCAGAAAACTAGCATAGCCCTGAAGAAAAATGTCTGCCCTAGGGACATGGACTGAGGCTTTGTGACTGAGTGTTTTAGTTTTAACTCTTGTACACATGAATCAAAATAAAATTTGTTATAGGGCCACCAAAAATGATTAAAACATAGTATATGATATTCAAACCAGTAGCAGGAAAAACATGGAATGAGAAACAAAAATCAATCTAAAACAAAAATTAAAATAAATACATACATAAACATAAACAAGGCAGAAAAAGTAGAAATTACA